CTTTGAATGTTGTAGGATTTAGGCCAGAGTCTTTACTGTAGAATACTGTTGGTTTTCTTTTTACGGAGACCATTACTATAGTGTAATGTTTTAACAAGGGTTGTGACTGTAGAATGTTGGGGGCAGGCTGTTATACAAGGATCTAAAGTTCGGAAGTCTAGTGGCTAATGAAATTAAAGGCCTCCTGTGGGTTGAAGGTGGGGTTGAATTTGTTTGTGATCAGAGAGTGGTAATTTGCTATTTGTAAAACGGTATTTCTGATTACAGTTTCCTTAGAGAACCTTTTTTCCCCCTAAGTGGAGGATGAGATGTTACCAAATGGTTTTGGCTGCAGATTGATGTAATGACGCTAACATGTACTAGTCAGCAGATTCTCTTCGCAACAGCCTGCATGTTGCTTTGTGGAGATAGCCTAAGGAACACAGAATGTGAGAAGCAGGCAGATGGAGGGGGGGAAATGCCCATTGCCACATTGATTTATTGAAACTGGAGTTTGCCTTGTATGAAGGGGGAAAGTATTGTATGTGCAGTGAAATAATTAAACCCATGCTGTGTTGCTGTCACAGAAAATGTCACTAACCATTCCGATTGTGATAGGTACAGAATAAGAACATTTTTGAAAAGAGAGGTAGAATTACAGATGATATTGAACATATTTAAAGTAAAGCAATATCTGGAATCTAGTTGAAAAGCACGCTTAAAGGTTGTGATCTACTTTTTGGAAAGAAATACAACAGTGCTAGTCTGATGTTTTCATTGTAGATAGAATCTCTTGATTTGCACCTGAAGGTCCCAGAAGCTTCCTTAATTATTGGGGATACTCCCTCTATTGTTGGCCTCCCTCTTTTGTAATCCATAGCTGGACACACCTAGTTTAAAAGTACTGTAAATTCCATGAAATAAATCTACCTGTACAGAAGACAAAAAAGTGGTAACATGCAATGGAAAGTGAGTAAAGGATTAGTGTATGATAAATAACTTTACAAAATAGACAGTGGTAGGCTATAAAAACCATTCAGGATTAGTAATATTCAGGTCTTGTTTTCAGTGAAATGCAGACATGACACAATGCACACACTATCTATCAGGTTGAACAACAACTTTGAAACACTAATTGAAGTTAGAGTATTTGCTGTATGTATTTAAAGCCAATTGAAATGTTTTGGGTTTCAGTAATGTTAAAAGGACATTGCTAAGGTGTATTTTCAGTAATTTTCTACCACTTTTCTGTATCTTGGGTTTTGACTAATATAAATTATTGTATCCATTTAATATCTTTATTTGTCATATAGAGAGGGTCTTTTCATACTTGGCAGAGGGGTGGACTCTGTAATCAGAAAGATACTATCTGTCCTTTACTGCTAGGATTCTAATAGTCCCTTGGAAGTTTCAAACAGCAGTATGTTCCTGTACCAAAGTTGTTGTTTTTTTTCCTTTGGGGTTGCTACTGGAATGATGATACAAGTTCAGGTTCTGAATGCCTGACGCTGCAGAAAAAGCACACTCCTTGCATCATTCCTACAAAGTACCACTGGCTAATTTAGTGGATTGTTCTGATTGGTTGTGGAGGGAAGCAAGATATGATTTATAGCGTCCAATGATTTCAGTCAGGATTCAGGCACATACAAGGAAAGTACTGGAAGCTGTCACTTCTTGTGAGCAGTTTTGTTTTGTTTGTTTTTAGTTACTAAGGCCAAATTTTTCAGAAGCAACTACAGATTTGAGATGACATTGTTTTTGGGCATCCAGCTTGAGACAGCATAACCTCTCTCCGTCTGTTTCCTCATCTGTACAGGAATGTTTCCCTGCTTTATAAGGACCTTAGTACAAACCACAGTGCAGTGTTTTACTGCAGTCCTCCCAAATGCTGTCATAACACTATTGTGAAATTTGAAAGGGCAGTTAATGTTCATGAAGTACATTGAAGATATAAATAAGCGTTATGAGGGTGCTGTATGGTTTTGCATTAATAATTTGTAACAATGTCAGTAATACCTTGGTTGTGTGAATAGCACTTAAGGTTTCTGGTAGGAAATTTAAATGGATATAATCAATTTATGTATCACGTTGCCCTCTGAGAATGGCCTCCCTCTATTGTGGCAACTGAAACATAAATTAAACTGAAGCAGATTAGGGGTGATAATTTTTGTGGAGGTTTCTTCCTTGTTCCAGTGCTCAATCTGATGCAGGGTCCAAAGATTGGGAAACCTTGCATCTTGCTTATTCTGGGTCTGCCTCTCATTGCTGCAGAGCTTAGCTGCAGCAGCCACTGTTGTTCTATTAGGTAGTAGCAGGGATGTAGGAAGGCTCCAGTCTAGAGCATTCCTACCAGCCACTTATTTGCACTGAGTTAGGGCAGTCCTCAGAGCTGGCTAGGGATGTTGGGGCAGGGTAACTGTGTAACCGTTGAAAATCTCAGCAGTTCCACGGTTACCCGTGCTCAGGGCTCTGCAGTATGAAGCTTTATGCTGCAGAGCCCACGGCAAAGCTGCCCCGGGAGCGGGGCCACCAGCCCCTGCTGGCCTGGCTACTAGGGAAAAGGCTTTGCTGCAGCAATGAAGCCACCTCCCGAGGAGTGGAGCAGGCAGCTCTTGCCTCCCTGGCTCCGGGGTAGAGGCTTCACTGTCCTGCTGCAGTGAAGCCGCCTCCTCAGGAGGCCATAGATGTCTAGTGGCTTAGGCAGGAGAAGGCTTTGCCTTCCCAAACTGCCAGGCTCAGTCACACCCACACGCTGCCCCCAGAATGCCTACTGTAGGTGTTCTGGGGATGGAGTGTTGCTGCCCCAGCATCTGCCCTCTCTGTGCTTCTGGCTGGGGAGGCTGGAACCACGTGGCCTCCCCCAAGGGTGCGAGAGCTGCCCCACACAGCTTCCTCTCTCTCTCGGTGCTCCAGGGGCTGGGGAGGTGGGGTGCATGCATGCGCCACCTTGCATATCTTCCCCTCCCTGTGGGGGGGACACGTTTGGTGCGCTACTCCACCTCCTCCTCTCTCCCTGGAGGGTAGGGACTCAGCAGGGGTCCTGCCTCCAGCCCCAGCTGCACCAACCGCCCATGAGGGAGGCCAAGTGTAACTGACACCATTAACCGATAAGCATCAGCTTATTGATTAAATGCTTCGTCCTTTACACTCTAACATCCCTAGTGCTGACACAGCTGTGGGTCTCCTGCTAGTGAATCCCCCTAAGTCCTGTGGTAGCGGAGGTTTATATAGTTATTTTGTAGTCATTTTCATTGGCCGGTCTATGAATTCCTGTGTTTCCCTGTATTGCTCTCAAGTTCCTCTTAGAGGTCAGTGCGAAACTGGTAGAATTACAGTTTTGAACACAGTCTGATATTTTATCTGCAGGGAATATATTGTGATGCATCTGGTGTTGTTTTGTGGAGAGGGGAGGTTGGATATCTGCAAGGCTGAAGGATAGCTTGCTAGAGATAAGGAGGTTGATTCAGTCAGGGAGGGTGAGGCCCACTTCTAGCAGCTGATGTGGAGGTGTGAACACCACATCAGCTGCTAGAAGTGGGCCTCACCCTCCCTGACTGAATCAACCTCCTTATCTCTAGCAAGCTATCCTTCAGCCTTGCAGATATCCAACCTCCCCTCTCCACAAAACAACACCAGATGCATCACAATATATTCCCTGCAGATAAAATATCAGACTGTGTTCAAAACTGTAATTCTACCAGTTTCGCACTGACCTCTAAGAGGAACTTGAGAGCAATACAGGGAAACACCTAGGAAAGTTTTCAAAGCTGCTCAAAGGGTTTGGACTTGCAGTTCCCATGAGAATAAATAGGAAATGGGCATTCAGCTCCCTTAGGTATCTGATAATCTCCATCCTCGTGCCTTGCCTTCCGGGTCTGTAAAATGGGGGTAACAATACTAACCTCTTGTGTGTGTTAAGGTTTTTTTCCCTAATCTTTAAGAAGAGTTTTGAATGAATGAAGTATCACATGGTATATGTGTAAAGTTTAGTACTCTTGGTACCCTAGTACCCATAGAAGAAGGAAAGGGAAGTTACTTTGTATATTTCATTTTTGCCTTTTAAACGTGCATGAACCAAGCTGATCATCTGCCTACCCAATGTCCTTTCAGGCTATTCTGGAAGAGCCTGCCAAAATTCATAGAGACAAATTTACCAACAAATATTTGTTTAAACTCAGCTAACCCCCAGTTAAACAGCTTGTGCACTGTTCCAGATCTATGCATCTTGTGTATCAGTTTTGTCAGGTTCAGTTGAGGGGACAGTTTGAGATCAGGTTAGAGCCAGAACTAGAGGTGAAATTCTGGCCCAATTAAAGTAAACAGAAAAAATTGTTAATTTCACTGGGGCCAGGATTTCACACTTAGGCTTTTCATTTCTGATTGCTGCAGGGAGAACATAATGAACCAATGAATCTCGAGCTTCTGGACGCACTGTTGATCCATATGGTGATGGAAGCAACTCCATGGAAGTGAGAATAATAAAATCAGGAGGTGGTCACATTCTCCTGTTAAGTTTCAGCTGTGCATGTGTCAGTCTTCAGATTTCACATGCATGGCTGTGTGCATGTTGGGATCATGCCCAGGAACTTAAGTCTCCTAATGAGTCTTTCTTTTGTTGGGTATTTCTTTGTTGTCAATTCAGTCATGATCAGATTTGTTGACTGACATCAAAATTGTAGGAGCAGCGGGGAAGTACCAAACTGCAGAATGACTAGAAAGGTCAGAGCAAGGAGGGCTGAAAGCAGCTAGAGGAGAAATGGTATCACTAATGTTATATTGTACTCTCAGTAGCAGAAATAAATAGCAAAGATATAAAAAGGGGCATGTAATCCAGCAGTCAAACGTAAAGCATGAAGGTAAATTCACTTTAATGCTCTTGTTTTTATTTCTGCTCTAAACCATTTAAACTGTCATTGCTGTGATATAGATATGAAATGCAAGTTTATACAAGTGGTGCCCATGAAAGAGATTTTGCAATAACACTGCAGCTCAGTTACAACCAAATAGTTTGAGGGGGATAAAAAACTTTAAACAGGTCCCTATTGGCTGGATGTAACTTTCATGGAGGCAGATTCTACCACTTGTGCTTGCTTGGGAGTTCTTGTACCTTTCTCTCAAGCGTTGGTCCTGGATACAGGACTAGATGGACCATAGATTCTGATCCAATTTCTGGGAATTCCTATGTTGCTCAATAGAAATGTCTTCATTATAAAAATGTCTAATTCTTTACATGTTAGTGGAAGCAAACACTTCCAGGGAACAAATGGGAGTTTCCAAGTTAAGCAAAAGATGTGAACTTAAAGGGAGAATATGAAGAGAGGGACCTCCTAGGAGGGGAGAGGCTGGGGGAATCTGTTTTAAGTGTAGAAACAGTATAAAAAAAGACATGAGGGGGGAGACAGACTCTCCTATCTGGAGGAAATCTGATCCTATAAAATGAGGTACATGTTACTAATCTGGAGTTGCTGGGCAACAAGTATAGTTGATGGGCCAAACTTAGCCCTAGTAGCAACAGGTGCAATTCCGTTGCCCCTGCAACGCCAGGGCTGAAATGTCAGTTTCTCTCTTCTAGAAGCTGTGTTTGGTTAGCCCTTATGCACTCTTGGAAGGGGTGCAGTACTGCAGCAATTGAGTGGGCACAACACCACCGTGAGAGGCGTCTCTGAATTCCCATGAGGGCATCCTGGTTCTCACTCTACCATTTCTAGAAACTCAAGCAGGGGCTGAACACCTCACTTAGGCTCAGTCGTGCTTCTGAGCAATCAGGTTTATTGAGGGCTAGAGCCAGTGGACTTGGAAGAGAGTCCTCTAATATGAGACTGAGAGGGTGTGGAGAAGTGTGTGTGTTTGGGGGCGGGGCAGGATGTAGCACCAGGAAAATGTGGAAGATCATCAAGGGCATCAAAAATTGCCTTTCGGTCTGTGCTGTGCCAAGATGGAGCTGAATTAATGATGACAATGTATCTGTTTGAGTTCTGCTGAATCATCATTAATAGTCTCTTCATGGAGATATGCATGGAAATCTCCGACCAATGCTGTGGGTGGAACCTGAGCCTCGGTAAACATGTTTCCAATTGTTCCACTATTTTGTTTTATAATAAATTGCTCCAGTGTGTAACACAGCTCTTAGGGCTTCAGTACTCAGCAGTCTACATACAATTGATCTAGAATTGATGTAATTAGATACGTGAGGTGATAGTACAATAAGAGTCCACACAGAGCTGCTCTTTTTGGTGTGCACATGACTGCCAGTGTTGTTTGCTGTAGTAGCAGTTATATGTACAGAAAGCCTCTATGAAAACACTTGCTCTGAATGTCACTCTGGAATTATCGGAAAATGTATTAAGATGAATTAATCCAACATGTGATATGATTGCATCGTGCTGCTGGATTTTTGCTTTCTGCACTGTTCTGTTTGCTCTGTTCGCTTAAAATGTTAACAAACAATTATCAAAGTTTTAAAAACTGATAAAGAAGTGTCATCTTTTTATTAGTCCCATTAAATGAGCCATAATAAACTAGGTATGGAATATTTTTAACTGAGTTACATACACTATAACTTGCAATGGAACTAGATCAACTGTAATTTTAACCAGTGGCTGACCTGTGTAGAAGCAGATGTGTGTCAGATCAGAAAGATTTATAGCAGGTTGATGTTATTCTTAAGTGAGATGGATCATATTGTGCCCGCTTTTGTATAACTTTGGAACTCAGTGTGTGTGCAAGTCCTACTGATTGCAAGGGCCTGGATTGCTGAATTAATGCAGTTAATAACAGAGACTGATTCAGGGTTGTCTATGGCCAGTTTTTCCAGGAAAGTCACCGTGCAGGAATAGGGAATTGCAAAGACGTTGAGAGAATAGGAGTTAAAGGGGGGGAGTGAGCATGTCATAGTGATGAATTACAGTAATAAAAGATAGTTTGCTAAAGAGTGCTCTGATTTTTTTTTTATCTATTTCAATTGCGTGGGCATAATCTGAGCAGACACAATAAATCAATGACTGGTGGATTGATTGCTGCAGTGTCCATCCCCAGCATAGTGGAGCCAAGTCCTAAGAGTTGATGTCAGAAAAGAGCACTGAGGTATGACTTTCCTGTGCATCCCCTTCCCAACTGCACTCCTTTAATTCACTTTATTGGCTAGAGCAGCCGCAATAGTCTCACAGCCTCCTTTGTCCTCACTTCACAGGACACCTGTAGCACCCTGGGTTCACATGTAGAGCAATTTACTCTGGACTGAGGATATAAAATCCTGTTTAAATGGTTAAATGCAGTGCTGACAACTTAATTGATTAAAAGTTATGGGGGGGGCTGGACTTGGGCTAGAGCTGGGGGCTGCCACTGCATCTCATGGCTCCCGTGCAGAGGCTGCCTCTGCGGGGGCTGCTGCTGCTGCCGTGGCTCCCACCCTCCCCATGGGAGCTGCCCCTACTAGCTCCTGCCTGGGGTCTCCCAGCCAGCAGTGCTGCATGGGAGGGGCGGGGGGCCTTGCAGGCTGCTCCCAGGTACTAGGTAACCATTTAACCAGCTATCCATTAACATCCCTACTCTGGATTGACTAGTCATGTGAGCTAGTAGCTGGGTAACATAAAACCCTCCTGGCATAGAGGGTATTTTCTGATTTCACCATCCCCACCCACTCTCAGTAGTTTCATAGCTCCTTTCACTGGAGTCTGTTAATCCACGTCTGTGTTTCCGTTTGTACATGATCCCCTGATGGAAAAGCTGCCTTTGGGGAAAAAAGAGGGCCTGCGCTTGCAATCCTTGAATTAGACACAATACACAGAGTTATGGGGAAGTCAATGTGAGTTTTGCCTGAATTAGAACAGTAGCATCAGCACCAAAGTTTTTAAACAAGAAAGAATAGGTATGTTCAAAGAGGGAAGTAGTTAAAAGGAGCCTGGAATGCTACTAAAGATAAACTAGATTAATCCAGTGTTATTTCCAGTCCCTAAGATTTTATATTAAATTCCCATTCTAAGCCAATTTTTCTGTATCCTGTGACACTTTTAAACTTGGGTACCTAAATTGGGAGCCCAAATCCTGCATTTGGTTGTGAGAGGCATACTTAAGTGCCCATTTTACGTACCCATGTACAGATTGATTAATTTTTGTTTGTACTGGCCAGTATAAATTTAAAATTTGTGTGTGTGTCTTTTTTTTTTTTTTTTTAAAGAACGGGACTGTTGATTTTCTTTAATTTCATTCTTTTTTCTTTCCCAGGTTCTTCTCTCATTTCGCATGTGTACTGTAACACTGGCTGCTTTAATCATTGCACGAATTAAAACCATCTCCCACAAACATGGCAGACGAGGACCTTATATTTTGTATGGAAGGTATTGATAATGCCAGGTCAACTAAAGCCATCTCTCGAAACTATCATGATACTGATAGTGAGGATGAGGACAGTTATTACATCTGTCCGATAACAGAGGATCCAGTATCAAACAAGGCTGCAAACAACAAAGTCGCCAATTATTACAGCAACTTGGCAAAAGAGGAACAGTACAGATCTAGCTCTTCTCCTCGGAGTTCATTCAATATTAGGGTAAGTGTTGGGTTCAAACTTAAATGGGCTTCTGATTACATTTATCTGGCATAAGAAGCAAGGACAAAGATTCACTAGCTGCTTCATTTCTTGTAACTAACCGTTTTCCATGAAAGTGACAGCTTTTATTTTTCCAGACTTGCAGTTAAGTCCATTAAGCCAATAACCTGATCCTACCATTGTTTCACTTACAAAACTCCCACTTGAATTCAGTGGGAACCCTATACATGGAACACTAGCAGGTTGGTGTCTGAGATGGCAGAGCTGTTGTAATTCAGCTGCTTTAAAAAAATACAAAAAACAGATGGGTTTGCAATTTTAAAAGATGGCATTTGTGGTAACTTTAATTCAGTATTATTTATCATTTTAAAGCTTGGGTCATGAGATGTGTTGTGGATGATATTAAACAAATCAATGTGCCTGGGTTTATTTGAACAAAGCCAGTCATAATTTGAGACAACATGAAAGAACATTTTTTAGACCAGTGGTTCTTAAACTATTTAAGACCGAGGAACACCAAACAATATTTTTTTTTTTATGGGAAACACCAAGGATTTTTTTGTTGGGCGGGGGAGGAGGCTTGTCCCTTTAAGGGCGGCCATTCCCCAGAGAAAAGTTGTTGAGCAAAAATAACAATAAAAAAGGGGACTTGTCCCTATAAGGGCGACCATTTTGAATTCTGTTCTCTCCGCAGCACACCTCCGACTGCCTCACGGCTATGAAACACTGATTTAGACAATTGGACTTAGATGAATTTTTTGTGATGTGCTTTCTACATTTTAATAATAGAGGTCTGATGTGAAATTCCACAGTAAATTCCACCACCAGCCCCAGACAGTTGACTAGCGTTATCCAACCATTTTAGCCCGAGGACCCAAACATATTCTGTATCTGCCCCATTCTGCTTCCCTTCCTTAAGTCTCCAGTAGGAGACTACAGGTGGATTCTGTTCCCTTTGCGTTGTCTGATCTATCTAATCTGCAGGATCTCTAGCAAATATGTAGCACCTGCATAGTTGCCCTGTTGGTTGCCGTTGGATGCAGGGGAGGTGTCACAATTTAGAGCCTCAAGGGCCACAAGAGGCCTCTGGGTAGACCCTCCTATTATACTCCTTAATTGGGAACTCTGCTAAATTGGGACATCTCTTAGCCTCTACCATTTAAAGGTGTATCATTGACAAATGTTAGCCAACATCTTCTAAGACTACGGAAAAGAATCTATTTTTAACATGTTGTCTAGCAGATGTGTAACAAGGTGGCTTGTTCCTAAGTTATAGAGGCCTGGAGATAGCGTACCTTAAATACCAAGGAGACGCATCTGAGCTGGGACTAGCTGATTCCCCTATAAAGCACTGGGAAGCTGAGTGGAGTGGAAAATGTTCAGGGATACCACATTGGAATACAGAGGATACTGGGCGTCAGTACGCTACAAAAGCAGAACCTGGAACTGGAGAATGAGACTACAGACAAGTGAGAGTAGAGGCCGGAAGGGCCTGAGCATGACCAATAAGAAGGTAGACAAATGGACTTGAGGAGACTTTTTGTTGGAATTATTTTGTTAGTAAAATCAGACCCCAAGGAGGGAGGAAGCCTATGTATGGAATGTATTTGAGAAGCCCCTTGGGGTGGGAGGTGGGGGGCACAACGGACAGAAACAGGCTGCCTACTAAGTGACCCAGGGCCATGGGTGCCTGCCTGTCAAGAATCCCCCCAGCACATTGAAATCGTAGTGTAGATGTTTTGAATACATTCGCTACTTGACGTAATCCCTCAGCTCACCAATATGGTTAGTTAGCCTCAACCAGCTACAACTGCCTTGTCTACACTAGTATTTTAACCTGTGTTAATGTAAAAATATCCTAAAAGTCTACTGTGGACAAAGCAGCTTATAATTTAAAGGGTGTTGAACTGGTTGAGTTGAAGCCTAGGAGGAAGCACGACCTTATCAACATCAGATTTTTAGAATGTGCAGTCATAGGAATCTAGGGCTGATGGGACCTCAAGAGTCCATTACATCCAACCCCCTGTCCTGAGACAGGACCATCTTAAACGTAGGCCATCCCTGACAGGTATTTGTTCAGCCTTTTTCTTAAACACTTCCAATTATGGGGCTTCCATAGCCTCTTTTGGAAGCCTGTTCCAGAGCTTGATTTCACTTACAGTTAGAAAGTTCTTCCTGTATTTAACTTAATTCTCCCTTTTGTGCAGGTTAAGCCCATCACTTCTTTTCCTTCCTTGAGTGGACATGGAGAACAATTCAGAACTGTCCTCTGTATAGCAGCCCTTAACATATTTGAAGATTTATCAGTTCAGCCCCTCTGTGTTTTTTCTTTTCTCAAGACTGAACTTGCCTAGTTTTTAAAAAAAACCAAAACAAACAAACAAAAAAAAACTTTCCTCCCAGGTCAGATTTGCTAAACATTTTTGCTGCTTTCCTTGGGATTATATCTGGTTTATCTACAACTTGCCTAAAGTAGAATAGGAGAGAGAGTACTCCAGCTGAAGCCTCACCAGTGCCAAATAAAGGGTAAATTACATCTCTATTATGTCTTTTATACCACACTCCTGTAAACCCCAGAATGTACTGCATCATGTTGTTAATTCCTGTTGCAGTTTGTGATCCACCTCGATCCCTGGATCAATTGTACAAACACCTAACCAGTTATTCCCTATTTTGTAGCTGTGCATTTCATTTTTTTCCGAAGGGGGCACTGCTTTGCACTTGTTTTTTCAGCTTAGTTTATCAAGGATCATTTTTTAATTCTGATTCTGTCCTCCAAAGTTCTTGTAACCACTCCCAGATTGATGTCCTCCATAGATTTTTATGAATGTACTCTTCTCTCCATTATCCAAATCATTATTTAAAATATCTGACCGAGGATTTTATTTAGACATGCCTTTCCATTTTGACAGCAGACCATTGATAGCTGCTCTTTGAATATCGTCTTTCAATCACTTTTGCACTCACTTTGTAGTAATTTAAGACTGACCACATTTCCCTCATTGTTAATGTTAAATGTAACTGTGTCAAACCTCTTACTAAAATCAAGAGAGAACATCATCTCCTTCTACCTATTTGTGTGTGTTAGCACATGTGAGCTAACATATCCTAACCTCTCACCTTTAAATCCCAGTTTAGACAAAGCTTTCAGTACTCCATTTAACCCAGTGGTAGCAAATTGCAATGACTGGTTTAACCAGGTATTTAATAGGTGAGAGACTTCTAGTTCATGTCTGTAAATGTAGAAGTTTTCAAATGAAATGAAATGAGCATAAACTTTTTTTGCACCGCTTATGTCTCTTCACTATTTTTAATAGCCTCTTTATCTGGACTTTAGGCTGCGTTGTTAATGATACCAAGGAGGCAAGACCAAGCTCAGCCAGTCTGAGTACTGGACTCCTGAAATAGTAATGCCAGCTTTGGTAAAAGCATCATTAAGGAGGGGACTGTAACAATATGGCTTTTCTGTAGCTATGTTGGAAGGCCTGTGCTAGGCCTGAACCAAAGCCGCCTTCTGTAGCCAGACTGAAGAGTAGCAGCTATTACTGTAAGGGCATTTCTCTATCCCTTCCACACTGTAAGGACACACACCTTGACCCAGTTCCTAGGGCTCAAAGTGCAACCCGATTAATTTATACACCCACCCTTACCCAATTCCTAGGGCTCAGGGCACGTTTTCCTGCGGGTTTTGCAGGATCTTTAGCCACTGAAAGAGCCTCACACAATAATATCCTTATCCTCTAAACAAGTAGAATGTACATGGTAAGCACACAGTGTCATGCTCACCAATCCTGATAAAGGTAGGCAGAGTTTCCCTGTTGGCCAGGCAATATCAGTCTCTCTGGTCTTAGGCTGTGTCTTGGAGGTGAGTTCTTCTTTTCCAGGTCTTCCACCCTCCTCCTGGTCCTCTTCCAGCCTTTTCTTCCTTTTGTGGTAAAGGTGTGTCCCCCTACAAATAGAGAAATTTGTGCGGGCAACAGCATGCTCAGGTGTACAGTGTAAAAGATTCTACTTAGATTACAAATGGGCTCAGGAATCAGTGTTCAGGTCCACATCCGGAGTAAAATTTGTATGGGATTAGAGCTTTGGTTTTAGGTTTGATGGTGCTGAAATCTTGTAGGCTGTTTATGAAAAGTTTTAATCCAAAATGGCAAAATCGTGCCAAATCAGATATTGTTTTATACTGCTTACCCCTGCGGCTGAAATCTTGTGAAATGGCAACTCTTGTAAAGAGTTTGGAAATTGACTCTGACCTGAAACTAAAACTAGAAAAACAGGTTCAGATTCAGGTTGAATGCTCTAAAATCCAAAAATTGAAGGGGTTTGAGTTTGAGTTTCTACTTTAACCCATCTTCCTTGTATGTATTAAGCATTAAATACTGTATGCAGTAATACAAAACATTTGTCTACAGGTAAGGAAGTCAACTGTAGTTGCTGTAGGAACCAGAACTTTTGAATTTCTTGATTTTTATGCATTTAAAATGCTACCTGTAATTTTGCATTAATATACTTTTTACACGTGATAAATCACTGAGTGGTGAAAACAGGACAGTTCAATAAAGCATGATTTTTTTTTTTTTTTTTTTTTTTTTGCAATAATTCTAGAATCTGATTCTGCAAAGCAACATTCACTCTTATTGGGCCTGATTCTGTCCCACCAAAAAAAATCAATGGCAGATTCTCATTGACTTCAAATTAAAGCTGTTCTTCTCAGGATCAGAACCCTCAGTCTTTCTACTGTAAAATGTCTCCAGTGCTTTAAGCCGTACTTACATATGCAGTTCCATTGACTTGAACAGATTTGTGCACAGATACCGCAAGGTTGAATTTTATTGAGGAATGTGAATTTTGAAAAACAGCTTTGTGGGTAGTGAAAAATCTGTGACGTGTCCATGCCAGCGGATTCAGACTCCAGGGCTCAGGTTAAGGAACTGTTTATTGTGGTGTAGATGTTTGGGATCAGGCTGGAGCATTGGCTCTAGAACCCTGCAAGGTGGGAGAAGTTCCCCCAAGCCAGAATGTCTGCGTCCGGTAGCTGGCGGCCCGTAACAGCTAGCGCAAGTCAGCTACGCGTGTCTAATTATAGTGTAGATATCCTAACTGGGAAAGGCATGTTTTTCAGTTGGCAAAAAAGGAAGCATTTAACTGATCGTTGTCTTAAGTACATTTTCATATTTTAATGTTTCTCGTGTATTCTTTAGAATGACACACAGCAATGATCTAAGCATGGCTCTGTGGTTGACCATAGTTGGGTAGGTTAACATGGAATCTTTCATAGTGGATGTTTTAAGCCTCTTTTTAAAAATAAATGATATTTTGATTCATTATTTTATACTTTAGAAGAACATACATTGCTCCACCCCTAGAAATCACTGAAGGAGACTGTCACCTTTAAGAATGTTTTGTTCTTTGTCATTTCTTTTGTTCACCATCATAAATACTCATTTTATTTTTTAAAATGTGTGCATAGTTGTTTCTTCACATTATTTCCTATTGTTAACAACAACAAAAGGAGATGTAAGAGTATTTTATTCAATTTATATTTAACGTTTTGCCCTTCTGTAATCTATGACACAAGAAATGTGAGGCTTGCATAATTGATGGTGTTAATGCTGATTCTCTATTTTGAAAACCAGAATACAAGTGTAGGGCTCAAACCTATGAGGTGCTGAGCACTTTCAACTCCCACTAACTTCATTCAGTATCTCTTTGGGACTCTCAACACCTTTGAGGGTGAAGTCCATAGACAATGGGGAACAGCCACTCTCCAAAGACCACAAGAAGGCCAGTTTTCTTCCTACAACCCGTGACGTGATTTCTTAGAAACTGTCAGGTATATTTCAGTGGAGCATAGGATGTGTCTCTGTTCTTAGTCAACCTGTATCTGTACATAGCTTACAAATGGAGGCTCCCAATTGCTCATCAGATCATGTGACATCAACCAGCTCTGTATTGTCATGTGACAAACAAGCATTATTTTCTTACTGATTTTATTTCATGTGTTTTTTGTGTGGCTGGGTTTTATGAGTAGAGAAAGTGTTTGGGAGAGGAGGCGTTGTTTGCTTTTGAAACATACTGCTTTGCCATTGGAATAGGAAGGACCTGTTGTCAGTTGAAAATGTAAATTATTTTATAAAAGTCCCCAGTTTTATACAATATAAAGCATTTGTGAAGGATGTTCACTGCTGATATATGTTTGTATTGTAATTTTTTAGTTTAATTTATTAAAACAATTAAAACAATTTTTAAATATTGAAAATTCAGTCACAGAAGTGGTAAACAGTGATCCAGAAATCAGTATTTCCTACACAGATTCAGATTGATAACCTGCGCCCTTTTTGCCAGCTTCTAGGTGCTGAATGACTCCAGCATGTTGCTGAACCTTCCTTTACTCATTTACATGAGTAGTGATTGAAGGTGCTTGTCATCTTGCAGGATGCACGCAACACTTTGCAGGATTAGCCCTCACAGGCCCTCGACATTGTGTATGTGAAAATAGGGGGACAGGATAAAAGTTAAGAGAAAAGCATTAGAGTGGCTTGTGAAACAGCTAATGTATTTTCAACATATGGATTTTCAGTGTTACTGTGACTTGATGGAGACTAAAATAGCTACTTGTCTGGAACTATAATAATCATCATCATCCATTTTTCTTACATAACTCCTTGCTTTTCCTTTTGCATCTTGTGGTGAGCTTAGTTTGAGGCCTTGGTTTTTGAAAAGCTTTATTTTCCTTGATATTATTGTACAAAGCAGCTTGTTCTTTATTTGCACTGATAGGACATGTTGCTTCCAATTAAAATATAATCCTCACTAAGTAAATTTTCTAACATTAACATTGGTTACTAAGTGTGATTGCAGAGAGCTGTTATAAATGATGAAAAGTACACAATTATTGCATTTTGTGCACATTATGCTCAGTTTATATCTGTGTGTATTAGACCAAATTCTCGCTTGGATTTATAGTATTGTAAATCAAATCAAAATCTAGTGCTTTACATTTCTGTACTTTTAACACTGCACTTGAAATTGTAAAATGTGGGAAGGTGTTTTGCACCCAGTACCAATTAGAGCAGTGGGCCCCAGACAGGGGTTTGCTCCCCTAGAAGAACAAGGGATGTGGCAGGGCTTAGACCAGCCCCAATGAGGCAGAGGGAGGGCGCAACTGCAGTGGAACATAGCCCTAGCTGCAGCCTCAGCTTCTGTCACTGCTCCCAGTCACGGCTCTGCTCACAGCCTTGGCCGCAGCTCTGGCCTTGGCTCCCAGCCCCAGTCTTGGCCATGGCTTCGCTCCTGGCTGCAGTTCTTGGGGAGAGGGTATAGGCAGGTTCCCTTATGGGCAAGGGGCAGTGTGGAGGGAAAAGTTTGGGGACCCCTGAATTAGAGAAAGGGGAAGGGAATGAAACGAGAAAATGTGGTTCTTATCCTTTAAAGAGACACATGCGGGGTGGTCCATGCATCCGTTCAGTACCCCACTGACTCCACGTGAGTACAGGGGTCTTCCTGCATATTTTTCTTTACACTGAGGCCCAGATGTACAGAAAACAATGTGATTATAAAGCTTGTAATTGTTGTTTTGATACAAATAACCTTATAGGTTTTTAACTTCTGTAGGAAGCCTGGAGACATGCCATTCAGAAAGCTAAACACATGCCTGATCCCTGGGCAGAATTTCATCTTGAGGACATTGAAACAGAATATGCCACGCGTTATAGGTCTGTAGATGTTTCTACTTCTAATTGTGACATTAAGCAGATTCCATTGGGTTACATGTGTATATTTCAAATAATTGTTCCATTTTTTAGTATATGGTTTGTACAGTTATTTTGCTAAATAAGCGCAATCACTTTACTGCCATGGATATTATCTAGAAACTACTGAGCATTTATAAAGACTGTAGTCACTCAAAATATAGTGTAACATAGTCTCTCCCACTTTAGCAATGTCTAAAAGTTCCAGCATTGCAAGAAGCAGGCAGGAAGTAAATGAGAAGGGTGTTGCTGACTGACCTATAAATATTCTGTAGAACTAATCTGATAAGGAAAGTAACAAAATCATTATGGCATCTGAAGCTATAAACAGTTCTGCTAGTTTGTAATGCTCTGTGCCTATCGTGAAATAGTTTATTTATGTGGGCACGCAGCACTGCTCCATGAGGCTGGAACGTAAACCCTTAAAAGGAACAGAATAGCACAGCAAAATATACGTGCTGAAACCAGTCCCTGAGCTGCATGTGGTGTTTTGGGCACTCGCTTTGCCAGAGCATTGGCACTGGCACAGACATGAAGCATTTTGAAAGTTTTGAAACTTGAGGAACTGATATTTATTTCCTACTTCTGCATTGTTACTAATGAAAGTGCTGTTTGAGGGTTGCTGAAATAGCCAGATAAAAAGAGCAGGATTTGGTTTTGCTTCCCCTGAGAGCTATGCTATTTAGGCTGTTGAGAAAAATAATTGGTAAATAGAAAGGCTGAGCTGGCATGTTTTTGAGGGTGGGGGAGGGAAATCTATCCATGCTGGTCAGGAGAGGCAAGCTAGTAACCATCATGTGTTGCTAATACAATTGTCTTGATTCTTAGTTAATCCATTCCTGTAGTGGGGAAAAGGAATTAGGAGAATAGGGATAAATCCATCTTTGTACTCCTTATATTCCTACGATTGTGCTCAGGCATATCCAGCTCCTGGTGTAAAATTTAGTAGCCTTAAGGCTACTCTGATTCATGCTTTGCTTCTCAAGGCTTCTGTGTATGCTGGGAGGCAGAGAATAACCACAGTGCAATGAACTCGGCTCATGCCTCCAGTCCATCCCTGTACCAGGGCCTGGGAGCAGGGCTGGTGTAGATTTCTTATGCCATTTTTGCTCCAGCCAAGGAGTGTGCGGCAGATATTCTCAGAGTACAGTTTCCACCCTGTTTGCGTTGCCAAAGCAGCCAGGAGGAACTTTAACATACAGTAAATCAGGCCCATTTGGTAGTGTGGACAGGGCTACAGAGTTTACCTGGGATCTGGAGTAGAAGGATTTTTGCTGGCCAAGTCACAGAGTGACCTCTGAGGAGGCTTTTTGTAGTGCTCATGCCTAAGTCCTGGGTGAGAGGGTATCAAGGCTCAGAGTTCTGTAGGATAGATCGGAGAGAAGAACCTTACATCAACTCCACAGTCAAATAGGATCAGCTGTGAGCATTTTGGTTCCTTGAGCATTTTACTAACTCATCTGATGGAAGTGGGTCTTACCCACGAAAGCTCACAATACTATACATTTTTGTTAGTATCAAAGATGCTACAAAAGGACTACTCATTGGTTTTTAAAGTTGCAGGCTAATACGATTACCCCCCTGAGACTTAATAAGAGGCATGGCTTCTACTTTTGCAGGTACAATGCAGTTACTGGGGAATGGGTCGAAGATGAAGTTCTCATTAAAATGGCTTCACAGGTATGAACATGTTTGTCTCTGTCTTTCCTATTTAATAGTACAGTAGACTTCCGATAATCCGGCACCTTTGGGACCTAGGTGGTGCCGGATTATTGGATATGCCGGAATATTGGGAGGTATTCTGGCGGGGGAGACTGTGACGAGTCTGCTGGGATCCATACTGCGTCCGGGGGGGGGGGTGACCGGGGGCGGGGGCGGAC